GTCAGCATTGACAATCACACATCATTTAGTCTTCAGTCTTTAGTCTTTCTCTTATCTGTGTGCTTAGGCCTATGAGCAAGAGAGAAGGTGTGTGTGAGAAAGATCTCGAGTAAATAAGAGATGAAAAGGGCCACACAGAAGAGGACTAACATGCTGAGCAAGGAACAAGAAAGGAAGAAAGAACTCTCACAGAAGCCTTAAGTAGTACAAATGAGTCCCAGTCTCTCTTTAACATGTATCCGTCAAAAGGAACAGGATATGTCTGTGTGTGTGTGTGAGAGAGAGAGGCCTTGTATTTTGCCTTTAAAGAGCCTGAAGAACATATTTACACATCATGTTTTACTCTAATGATGCTTCCCCTTATTGTCTTGGAGTGTCTTCACAGGATGAAACTTGCCCACAAAGAGTAGTGAAACCATGTGACAATTAAGCACTCCATTGAAAACAGAGACAAAAATAAAACAACATTTAACATGTCGGCATGCTTGTGAGAAAAGCTCAAATTTCCACAGCAGGAATCCAATTTGAGAAGATCCCGACAGCAATGAGAACTACATGAATGTGGTCATGTGGTTTTCAAACGAAATTTAAAAGGGATTAAAAAGGAAACATTTCCCTCATGATACGTTTCAGACTGATTTCCTACCTTCCAGGCAGCCATCAGTTTTTATTTAGTCGACTCAATAAGGAAATAAAGTTGAAGGTATTCGAAACGTCTCAGACATTGGTAATCAATCACAGAGGTGTTTTTAAATGCATTTGTTAAGCCACACTATCGTGTTATCGTAACGCATTTGCAATGCTCATTTCTTTTTTTTGCCAGTGCATTTATTGCCACTCTGACCTTTTAGTTGTGTATGTGTACCTTCAATTAAACAGTAGAAAATGTAATTGCTTTCTTAAACTTCCTTAAACTTAATTGCGAACGCTGTCGACATGTTTCTTTAATATGGACCATTTATTTCTATTCTGTGTGTGAGTGTGTGTGCTTTTGTGTATGTGCATGTATTAGGAGGTTAGTTACAGGATCATCTCCTACCATCAATGAGGTGTGAACCCCAGACTTCACACGTCCCCCCACCCCCACTTTACACCAGCCCAGGTGTCAAAGCCCCCACTGAGGTGACACTTATCACTGATCTGGGAAAGAGCTGTTCTGTAACACAAAGACACACACGCTTGACACACACACGCAGAAGATGACTCAAGTTGGGAATAATCTCTCCTTTTTACTCAATGTTAAGGTCCATCGATGATCACGTCTAGACTAGGACAATAATATGACTGTGTTTCCATGAAAACGCAGAACCATGGCAACCATGAGACTGCCATACTAACTAACATAGGCAGACATACAAACACACACATACACAAACACACAGGCGCGCACACACAAAGACTTTCATACACATTTATCTATTTCTACCTGCCTGGTGGCTGTATTGTTCTCCCTCCTCCTTTCCTCTTAAGATAAATATGTCACTTAAACTACAGATTGTGTGTGTGTGTGTGTGTGTGTGTGTGTGAGACTGAGACAAAGTGTGTGTGCATGGAGACTGTTTGGGATGTTGAGTCATTCACTAAGGTCAGATGTCACAGCAGACAAACACATCAGTTAAGGACAATTAAGAACTTCAAGCCATTCAATTTATATCACACCTGCTGAATACTTAATTAAGGTAGAATTATATAGTATATATAGTTCCATAAACTAAATAGAAAATGTGTTTCCTGTGGCAGGCTTGAGGTTCACTGTGCAACAGAATACTTCATCGGGGACAAACACGTGTGTAGGATGTAAACATTTGTGGAGGACAGTAGCCAAATGGTTGCACAAGTGACCTCATGACCAGAGGGTCAACGGTTCAAATTCCTGAGAAAGTTACTGCGACACAACAACTGCCACCCAAAGACCGTGGCGAAAGGTACCTGGTACTCAATGAGTGAATGGCAGAACGGGTTTTGCAGTTCTGGCAACACAATATGAAGCTATATGAATGTTCACCCTAACTGCATTATAATAGAATGAACAATTCTCAATGTGAGGTTTCATCTTATGAAGCTCCTCGAGGTGGAACAAAAATTTCTTGCAAACAGTCATCCTTTGTGTGTGGGCTTGTGTCGTGTGTCGCTATTTGCTGCAATTATTTTAAACTGACTGTAGATTTATCTTTTGTTGTTCACCAGAAAAACTTAGATCAGGCATCTTCATTTGCTTCTCATGGCAAAGGTTTTTTTTATGAACTTTTAAATCTTCCTCAGTCACTGCAGGAATACAATGCTGCTCTGCTAAAATGAGGGGTCTCAGTTACCCACTATGCCAAAACTAAAAAGGAAAAGCACATTTTATGTTTTATATGTTGTCAGACCCTTGGCATCACTGTCTTAAGAACTGGGTTGTGGTCACTATTCTCCTGGTGACAAGTCCCTGTTTGTTTGGCGCATATGGATTTACATGGGAGTTAATTGAAAGCCCAGTTGGCCTCATACAAATGTTAAAGGATGCCTTGTGCGTCGGGAGTGAAGGGGCATGACAAAGCGTTGGTATGTGACGCCCTGCGAATCAGAGCTCACTGGGATATCTCCTCCCTCTGTATTGCAAAGCACATTTTCTATTTTTTTCAACGTGTCTTGATTGTAAGTGTGGCTGGTGTCTCCTCTAGCGTTTCGCGAGGTTTTTAAGTTCATATATTTTTGGAGAAGCTGTCAATTTTCAGCCTTATGTTGCACGGCACCTTCCAATGGAGGTTTTGTGAGCCTTTTCTTTGCTTGTTTCTTTGACATCTTCTGCACAATTAGTCCACTTTTAATTCTCAAAAAAATGCATTAACCATTGGCATGTGATTTTGTTTGAAATACTCACATACCGTACTGAAATAATGAAACAAATAACAATAGATCAACATGCACTGCACATAAACATGCAATATGGAAGCAATGATGAACGTTTATGCGTATTCGACTTGGTTTGTCTTGAGTTGTTCGTGTCAGCAACAACAACGACAACTCTCCATGTTCATCATTTCAATTGAAATACAACTGCTAACCACCGCTTGTGATGTCTATATAATTTGGGGTCTGTCCCTTTAATCTAAGGTGTCTTGACTCTCTGGATCCCAATAATACCAGGTTGACCCCTTGTGTGTTGTGCACCCGGTGTAAGTAGTCTAGTCAGCTGTTCTGTAATTGTCACTGTAGCTGGGTGTGCCATCACTTGTGACATCCCTCTGATAATACCTGATGTCCTCATAATTGGTGTTATCCATTGTGCTGGCCCTGTAATCTGTACTGTCCCACATGAGGAATCCTTCAGCTGACACTTAGACTGCCTCCAACCGAGACAACGTTTGATCTGTCACGAGTCGCCAACGTGGTCTTCAAATGTAAATTAAATTGAAGCAGTATTCATGACACCTGCCTGGAGTCTTCATGTGGTTACCATCTAAAAACTATTTAAATTAGTCTTCATTTAAATTCTAGCCTTTGATGATCACATGTTATCCCCAAACTCCAGTGCAATGGACTGCAAAAATATCTCAATGAAGGTAAGACTATGTAAATATAAGACTGCATAAATAGGTCCAAATAAAGGTAACGACGTCAACGCAAGTCCATTTTTCTATCTTTATGGGAGGGACACTTAATGGCAACGTACAAGTATTTGTTATGGTGTTTTGGCTAAAAATTTAATTTTTTGAGGATATTTTCTTTATATATACAAAACATGCACTCAAAAATCCATTCAGCACCCGATAGCAATTATGTAAATTATGAAGTTCATACCATAACCGGCACTTCTATGTGTTTGCCACAACTATGTTTCAGAAGTAAGATCAAATATTTCACAAAATATCACAAAAAAAGAAAAAATACTCTAAACATTGAACATTAAGGACAATGACAAACTAATATCCTCAGCCACGTGATTTCTATTCCCTTTAGGCTGTGTTCAAAGGAGGAGCCCATTCAAATCATTTGTTATATCAAGGACAGTACCGTGTCCTTAATGTTACCCAATCTCAGTTCATTCAACCAGATCAACTGTTCTCTGACAATTAAATAATTAGTGAAAAGAGCAAATACGCCATCTAGAGCAAATAGGCAGGAATCACAGAACACCACCAAGCGAAAGTCACTGAGAAACGAAGGTACAATGTCAGTTGGATTGATCGTACAACTATTTTGATGGAGACTATCATTTCATTTTTAGTTTCAAAAAGAGATGTGGTAATAAGTGAAGACTGTCATCAAAATGTTTTAAATGTTTATATTTTGTCTACACAAAGAAAAGGTTTCAAGGACGTCATCATGGTCCTATTAAAAATAGAGAGTTGTGAATATGTATTGAACAATATCTTAACCTCATTTACCTCATTTCCTGGACCAAATAACGTCTAGATCACAGGTCTTCAACGTTTTCTCAGGCTAAGGATCCCCAAACTGATGGCGAGATGAAGCAGGGACTCCCTATTATATAGAGTTTTGTCCACCATCTTTTATTTTTGAGCTTTGCGCTCTTTAGACGTGAGCATAGATGCGATCTGATTGGCTGGTGCCTGCGCTGTCGTATTTGGATGAAAGGTGCTGTGAGTGAACCGGTGCCCAGCTTGAGAGCTGCTGTGGGAAGCTGAGTGTGTGTGTTGCGGACTGAAAGATACCGTCTTCTTCGTCAATTTATCCTTTCGCTACAATATGTTGGATTCATGTTAATGTGTATTTAAAGACTATAAAGACAATTCTGATTCTGAAGACATTTCAATTTGTGGGGGAAAAAATGGTTGAAAAAAAAAAAGATTTCGCGACCCCCCTGCAGTACCTCCACGGACCCCCTAGGGGTCGCGGACCCCCTGTTGAAGACCTCTGGTCTAGATGTAATATTACTATATCAATAATGCATAACATATAAATGTGGTTGCAAAACAAAACTGTCGGAGGTCTTTTTTTCTTCAAAATGAAAGTTTATTAATTTTGGTAATTGTTTATTTCAATTCATTTGAGTGCCATTGAGTGATTTGACATTTTCCGTGGTACGATCTTGGAGAACTCGTTAAGTATGTATTGGATAGCACCATACCAGAGACTCGCATACATAAAATCCATTTTTGAAGTTCACATTTCTGATTATTTGTTCAAAATGTGTCAACAATACAACTTTTATTTTGAATTGTTAGAGCGTCGCACTTCCTTCTGCCAGCTCGAGCCCAGCGAGGTTCGGTCGTTCTGCGCGGGCGAAAGGACTTCGCGATGAGGTGAAACAAACGAAACACGCTCCAAAAATGAACACAACCGAGAAGAAGCTCGCGGACCTGATACGCAAGCACCCGAACCTGTACGACCAATCGCGGCGGGACTACAAGGACAACCTGAAGGGCCACTTGTCGTGGAGGGACATCGCGGACAGCATGGGGAAGTCCGAGGAGGAGGTGAAGCTCAAGTGGAAAAATCTACGCGACAAGTTCTGCAAGGCGAAGAAGCGAATCGCCAAGAGGAGCGCGCCGCTGCTGCCGACGGACGAGGAGAGCCCGCTGAGGAGGCCCGTCCCGGTGCTCTACAACCAGCTGGCCTGGCTCAACGGCTACGTCAAGCCCAAAGTGGAGGTCGGCGCGGGCGAAGCCGACGAGGTGCGCGGTGCCATGTCTTTGTCTTTCGTGCGTTGTTGTTGTTTTTGAAAGTAGGATTTAACGTATTTGATTTTTAAAATCCGAACGTTACCAAGGTAACGTGACCCGAGCAGTTAGACGGCATAACGCGGGCCCCTGCTAACTACGGGCCAACGGTAGTCACAAGAACACTTCTATGTATACTTCTGAACGATAGACTTCTCTGCGGAACCTACGATAACTAACGTCAACGTTGTTTTGAAAGGTAACCGTGTGATTACGTGCAGGAAGAGAGACGACATCATTACTGATGCCCGCCTGTCGTCATACCCGGATTCCCTTTTCAAAATAAAAGCACATGTTGCCAGACACGCAGCTTGCACTGCGGCGCTGCTGCATGAGCGCATCAAAGCAGAAAATCAAAACACTCAAAGTAACCGATATTGTTTATTTAGAATATGCAAAACATTGCAGCCTGACAAATATTATTTTTTTGAAGCTGGTAATTCATGATTATTTGTTGTGTTTTGTCTAATATATCTTATTTTTGTTCTAGCAGACCTTTGGAATATTATATGTAACGTTACTCAGCTATATATCCATGCACTGTAGTGGTATAACGTGTGGTGTCGAGTTACCTCAAGCATATAATCTTTGGCAATATAATATATTTGTGATAAACTATTTCTAGCAGCTAATAGCCCCCTGTTGATAAATCAAGCACTGTTGAATATTATACATTACACTAGGAGGGAAATGTTGTATAAAGGCCTTCGATATGTTCAACCGCTTGTTATCAGTGTTGCTTTCTATGTTAACCGCTAATGCTATATGCTGTTTTCATGCCAAACAGGTAGCTGGGAGTGGTGATGACGTGGAGAAAGAGCCAGATAAAGACGAGAAGGAGCAGCATTGTCCTCTGCCTGCCGTTACTACTAGCTTTGCTCTTGTCGAGTCCTGTCCAAACAACCATGAGGACATGGGAGTCTCTCTTAAACGTAAAAGGCAATCAACCACAGAAACTGCGATGAGCTCTGCAGATGCCCTCACCAACCTCAGGGATGAAGATGAACTGTTTCTCCTCAGCCTTTTGCCTTCACTGAAGAGGCTAACCATTAAAAAGAGAATGGAGGTACGGATGAAATTCCAGCAAGTGCTTTATGCCGCAGAGTTTGACGGCTAAATGGCTCAGTATGATCCATCCAGGGCTTGATGTGGTATAAATGTGCAGTGGCCGGTGGTAGGATCCTTTTTCTGAACGGCACAAGCCGATCTCAGTTGGGTATGTAGCAACATGGAAACACCATTTACGGCAAACCCACGGTCATGAAGATACTCATTTAACGTTAGATGGAATTTGCCTGAGGAGGAGGAGGAGGGTCCATGGCGCTAAATTCTCCTACCACCGACCACTTTTCGCACTCCGCGTCACTCTAAGTAGGATTTTTCAAGCATTGAACTGTAAATAATTGTGTCATCATTATGACTTTTAAATATGTATTTTCAGACCACCACTGCTATCAATAACATCACTGTTTTCATTTGAAAACCCCCGTTTGTTACTAGCTATAAAACAAGAATAGACACAGGGTAGTTAGGTAACTCCGTAAACATTCACAGTAAAATGTAATTCACCAGAAATACCAGCTACTTAATAACTCCCCACTTTTCGAAGCTCATAATGTTGATTTAACTACACGACGTGATGAATATTTTGTCCAAACCCATTTATCTCATTAAAGTTTGTGCTGGTAAATATATGTGTGCAGATGTACCGCAGAGTCTACAGCATAAACTACCCGTTAACCTAGTAAATCCTTACAAAGAAAGTTCTCAAAATGAATTGGGTTGATAAACCTTTCTGTTGGAAAATATATTTTACGTATATATCGACGGCAAAGACAAATGCCAGAATTAACTACATGTAAACCCTTTGAACGTGTGTACACGTTGGCATTCATGTGATAAGAAAAAAAAATAGGACAGTATTGTGAAATAACTTTAAATAGAAATACTGCTATTTTCTTTATTTCATTGGGGACATTTCGCAACAATAAATTAAGTCAATTCTGTGATTCTGCTTGTCAACATTTTTCAAACTTTTCATTTGATTTTCCTGGACTAAAGAAATTTCTCTGAAAGTACATAAATATCTCTCCAACTTTCTGGAAGGAGTCATTTATACTGTATTTTTTACAAATAAATATTTTTCTGCAATGAAAAAACTGTTTTGTTTCCTGTTCTTTTTTTTAAACAAGAGTAGTTGGTCGCCCGATATTCAAAATGTTTATTACAAATTGTGACCTGCTAGCTCATAAATTTCGTTCAATGACACAAGACATGATTTACACGATGATATATTTATTGGCCATGAAGTGTGTGATTCAATCATCCACTCAAGTGTACAAAAATCCCTTTTGTCTTCCTATTGCATGGTGGTGTATGGGAAAGCATTAGTACCATTAGCCTTCTTGTATTCCACTGAGAATGTGTTCTTGCTGCGGTAGTACTTTATCATTCTCTTGGCGGTACACACACAAACAAACACGCACGCACACACACATCAACCCACACTAACAGTTGCATGTTTTCATTCATACATCTGTGTATTCCATTCATATTAGCAGTGTGCAATGGTAATATGTGGGTGTGGTCTGTACGGATACAAAGCAGTGCCTCTCTCTCTCTCTCCTCTCCCCCTCATTATATTTAACCCCCTACGTGCATCCTCTCGCATCCATCATTGCTTGTGTTACACCCAAACCCCTCCCCCTCTCCCTGGCTTCCTGCTCTCGTGTCATTGGGTGCTGTGTGGGGTGATGCTTGTGGTTCCGTTGGTGATGTCTCCAGAGCGTGTACTGGCTTACTGCTTCAGAACTATTTGAGCTTATTTTGATTCAACAGTCTTGCAGCACTTGTGGATTAGATTAAGTTTAAATAGATGGATAGACATATTATGAAAGAATATATAAAGAACGCACTAAGAATGCATGCATGAAGTAGAGGAGCTATCTGAGGTGTCCATCATGGGACACAGAAGCCTCTAATTGCTGCCTCTCGCTGCCACAGCTGTCTTGCAACTGACAACCTGAAGCTTGGATGGTACTCGAGGAATCAAGCCCAGCTTGACCCGTAACGACAAGTCATTGCTTCGAACTCAACACACTGGACCGGAGCAAAGACTTCTCCTTTTTGGGACCAGAGAGCTGACAAGCTGCAAAAATAAGGATCAACTCACTGTTTTCTACTGCCTGAGGTGAGATGCAAATAACGTGCTGTACATGGTCATTGGGGTGGATGTTGGTATAATGATAGTACAGGTTCTTCTACCTAAACTTTACTCCTAGCTCTTCTGCTGTTACAAGACAGTAAACGCACTTGTTTTTCTGCTCATTCAAATGATTATTTAAATAACTCACAGTACCAGAATATGTGCGCATAGCACCACTCCATCACTGCTGCAGAATGAAAGGCTTGCTACTATGAAACAGCGCCTCTTTTTGCCTATAGGTGGGGAAAGGCTCCACACAAGGCAAATGATTCGTCACGGTGACTGTCTGTCGAGTGGAAGGGTGTGTACCTATTAACATAGTCATGTGATCCAAACATACCACCGTGGAAGTAGTGTGCTTGTTTAGGTGTGGTTCAGAGAGAAAGGAGCGAAGGAAGGTGTCTGCTGGGCGGCAGGAGACGGATGGTGAAAGGAGATGAACAGAAAATGACCTGTCATGCAAGCTGCATGCATTAGATTTTGAGTGGAACATATTGACGCTGTTGTCCACGAATAATTCAGGAACATACAAGAAATCAATAATAATGTATGTATATCTCAGCGTAAATTCTCATGCATAGTTGGTTTAGTGGGCATTGTTGGAAAAGAAAATGTATCCTCACAGAAGCACAGGCAAACAAACCCACAGGGAGGCTTAATAGATAAAGAGGCTTAAACGCATTTTAGGGAGTAACTATTGTCACAATGATACAGAAGCAAACAGTAAAAAAAAAAAACGAGATGGAAACGAAATAAAGAATGAAAACGGGACATAACAATAACACAGCAGCAGCAACCGGAGTTATGAATTAATCTATGCTGAATGCGGCCATTCAGAGAATGAACACAGGCACTACAGAGTCAGCTAAGGGCTGTAAGGATCTGCAAGAAACTGGTCATATGATCCCTGGTCAGCACTCAGCTATTAGAGAGAGTGGCCAACACAGGACGAGGGCAGAACAAGAGAAAACAACGAAAGAGGAAAAACATCGATGGTCCCTCCATGGCGAGATTGGTCAGTTAGTGAGGTTGAAGGCTTTTACATCATGGTGAGGTGGAAGCGTTCCTCATAAGCTACCACTCCAAGGAAAGGTAAAATCCTCTGTTAGCTACAATATCTATTTTGTTCTGCTGTCGTATTGTTCACACCACATTAAATCAAGATTTAGTATTTAGTGTAGTTAAGCAGAATATCTGAGGGCAGATCCTCTTGTCATGTGTAATTAATGGTATCATGCCGTATGTGTGAGCAGTGTTTGTTTTGGAATCAGACATGGGTGGCAAAGATGTAATGTTGTGTAACAGAATTTACACATTGACTAACCTTTGAGTACTTACACAAGTTTATTATTAGCTCTGGGCGAGCCTTGTGATTAGACTTCTCTCGTTCTTTTATTCTACACCTGAAACTAGACTTAAAACGCAAATGGTTGGTTGTTTTTTGAAACACATTTATTAAACCTCAAAATGTTGTGCATCTGGGCAACTTGGCTTCGTGCCTGGGCAGGAACGTTTTGGTATTTACCAAAGTTGTGAAAGCATTTGCATTGTGGGTCACATTTTTAGAATCTTCTCTAAACTCCTTTATACTCAAGATATCATTATGTCGGTCTCCACTGTCTGTTTTTCCTAGTTGAAGCCCAGCATACCAAGCAGGAACCCACCTGACCAGAGGGTCATCAGCAAACCCAAGAAGATCTGACTGTGTGGCACCAGCTCAACGGGGGGCCGACCAGAGGGAGCCACTCGGTGATCTGCTCAATTTAATAACCTCTTCATAACAAGCCTGTGGGCACAGGAGACTCCCACTCACCATGTACTCCCCTCAGAGTCTCCACCGCTGGGGCATCACTCACAGCGAGAGTATGGAGCGGTTAGCATACAGCCACGGTAGGTTGGAAAGTGTTATTTGAATGAATAACTCCATCTTATCTCCACCTTAACTCCATGATCATTTCTGCCAACTCTTACTGCAGCTTGGTCTATAAGGTTCATAGAACTGAAACAAAGTATCTCCCCCGTCTGCAGTTCATTCCTGTCTATTGAAATACCTGAAAACAGGAATATCCAGTTCATATTGTTTCCATTCAACCCCTCGACTAATAGAGGACTTGCAGTGTGCCCCCCATAAGCCTAATGTCAGTGATGTCAGGCATCGTTTGCATTTGTAACGCAATTCATGGACCAAAATAATGAGGCGTGGAAACAAGGAAATAAGATATATTGATAGAAAAAACAATAATCAGTAGCAGACCTGTGTGCATTTCGTGTTGCATGCAGGTCTCACTTAAAACCTTGTATAATAAAGCCAACAAACTGAATCTCTTCACGTGTGTGTGTCTAGCAGCCCTTTTAGTTAGGTGGTTTAATCTATTCACAATCTATTCTTTTTTTGTATTAGCTCTAATTATTTATTTATTTAGATATTTGTTAAGTAACTATAACTGTCAAAATAATGAGAGCAAAAAGTAAAATATTTATGGAAGCACTCAAGTAAACGACAAGTACAGTATTTGAGTTAACAAACATAGCTATATTCCAATCTTGCAGAAATATTAACGCCCTCAGTAGGAGCGGAGGAGTGTTGAACTTTTTAACTCAATCCCAAAATAGCTGTCTGGGCCCTCCTGTCTCCGAGCATCTCATCTCAGCATCACACACACACCGCACACACACACCGCACACACACACACACACACGCACACACACACACACACACACCGCACAGCGCACCTGCTGGCAGCCGTGCAGTTCTCCCTTCTACCAGCAGGGGGCGGCACACCTACAACACAGCCGCCGCTGAAATCATGACGTAGCGCTGCCTTTTGTGCGCGTGTGTGTGTGTGTGTCTTGTGAGCCTGTTGACACCGCCCCGCCGGAGGGTGCAGCGGGGACCGCCAGCAGCCCAACTGTCGGATTTTAGTCCGCGGACTATCAACAAATCTCCACCGCACCGGGATGTACGGAAACGAACCGCGTATCGAGCAGCAGCCGCGCGCGCCGTTGCCGACGTCCGTGATGTCGCGTTAGACCGTCACAACCGGTTCGCACTACGGGAACCTCACGGCGGTTGATTGGTGATTGTAATCGAGCTTGTCATTGTTTTGGCCGGCGGTTTAACAGGTATTTTTTAATGCTGCGGTTGTCGCAATGGTCGCCGGTTGGAATTGTGCAACGAAGCTAGCTCGCTAACGGTTAGCTAACCGTATGAACCCGGCTGCCTTCGCAGCGACCAGCGGCTGTATTTATTCCAGAAGTACGTGAACATGGCATCGCCCGCGGAGCACGACCTGGCGCTGTCCGAGGCGGACAGCAGCAAGGACAAAAGTCAGATGTTTGGGATTTTGAGGCTGCAGGAGGAGAAATCTGCGGTTGCTAACAGTAGCTGCACGACGAGAGGAGGAGGAGGAGGAGGTGGTGGAGGTGGAGGAGACGGGCGATGGCAGGCTCCCATCTTCGCTTTAGCCAGGAAAGCATCCGAGACAATCTCAGGGAGCATTCACGTCCTGCCCAAAGTGTCGGAGCACCGCGCGTCTCTCTCCAGTGACTGGAGCGTCCCAGGTAGAGTATTATCATCCCCGGGAGGGGGGGCGTGAGGTTCACACTGGTTAATAATAAAAAAGGTATGAAACCCCCCCCCGTAACTGATTGTTTTTAGGGATACGTGGGGAAATATGCTTCTGTGCTTACCAGTTTCTTCTCATTGGTCTCCGCTGCTGCGTGTAGGTGTTGCATGGTGACAAAGCTAGCTGGCACGCATCCTCCTCGTTCTCACATATCTAATATTACCTCGTGTGATTCCAAATCGATTTTTTCCAAGGATCAGTGCTGCTCTTATGCCTTGATGGCTGCTGTTTATACGAGGAAACATTTGAGCTGCCAGAGGCATCACATGCTGCACTGGTGCAAATGGGGAAGCAAGAGTTTCTGTCTTTGAGGTTATAACGCCGTGCGTAGTTGTCTGTATTTGTTCGCTGCCTTGACGTTACTACAAAAAACGTTTAGTACATATTTAGTATCTGCAGCGGAACTAACTATGATCGCTGTATCTTGTTTTATTAAATCATTTTTAGTTAAATATCAGAAAATATAACAATTCTTCTGAGTAGATTTTCTTAAATGCCTTGCTCTGTCTGACTCGCAGTCTGAAACCCAAATCTATAAACGTGTTGCAGTTTATATAAAACTGATAAAAGCAGCCAAGCTGGAACCAGCAAAGGTTTGTCATTTTCTCTTGACAGATGGCTCATACTATTGAATCTTATAGTTTACTCGTTAATCTTCTGCTCTATTTTCTCTCTCTGCGCACCCACCAGCCAGTGTCTCTCTGACGGTACAATATTGTCCGATTTGTCTTTCTTTTACCAAGAAGACACAAGATTCGTTTAGGTGGAGGATCTTTTAAGGCTTAACGATTCTTCAAATCTACACAGTTGCGTTCAAACTCAAATCTCAATTGAAACATCTGCACACTTTGCAGCTTTTCAATCCCCAGTGTTCGATGTGTTGTAGCAGAAGTCACATGTTGACGGGGGCATTCAATAGGTCTCTGTTTTGCTCTCAGTATCCCCAGGGCTCACTTGCCGAAGGGCTCCCAAAAGTGTTGCTCATTCCAAAGAAACCATCTGTTGATTTGTCAGCGTCTCTGCCTCTGGGCCAAGCTGCTGGGGCAATTAAAGCTTGCTGTCGTTGCTAAGCAACATCTCTGCTCTTTTTCACCTGACATCGTTCTATCTGTCTCTGGTGTTTGGCTGCACATTAACCCGGAGGTCCACTCAAAATGATGAACATTTAAAGGCATATCTCTGTGGTAGTTCTAAAAATGCTCGTTCTCTGCGCCTACACTGGACTGACTCAAATACAAATGAGCATTCTGTTTTCAGGGTGTATTCTGCCTTCCAAGCACTTATTTTGCATTTTTACTATACCTTCCCAGACCAAGCATGTTTATAATAAGGACCTACTGTAAGATATCATAAGCCTATTTTAAATAAAGTGCCTTTTGTTTTGCAGCCCTGCGAGACCCCATGGCTATGGAGCGAGCCAACCTGCTGAACATGGCCAAACTGAGCATTAAAGGGCTGATAGAGTCGGCTCTGAGCTTTGGACGAACTCTGGACTCGGACTACCCACCTCTGCAGCAGTTCTTTGTCGTCATGGAGCACTGCCTCAAACATGGCCTCAAAGGTAAAAGGACTCGCCCAACTTCTTCAAACTCAACGTTCAAGTGCCTCTAGTTGTTTTTTTTAGATCTAGACAGGTGCTTGTCTCTCCTCTCTGCAGTGAAGAAGTCCTTTCTGGGCTTTAACAAGTCTCTCTGGGGTCCCCTGGAGCTGGTGGAGAAACTGTGCCCTGAAGCAGTTGAGATCTCCGCCTCTGTACGAGACCTGCCCGGACTTAAGTAAGGCGTACATTTATATACCCTCACACACAACGTAACCTCACATCGTGCTGGAGGAACCACACACACACACACTCCCATTTACCAGTAATATAAACATGTGAGGTGAGTTAGAGCAGAGAAATACCCGAGTGTAACTTTCACTTCACCATTCCTCTTCCTACTGCCTCACTTCCTCTCCCTTATCTAGATCTTTATTATTATACCTTTATCTCTATGAAACAAAGTACCTTTGTAGTCAGACACAAAGTTAACAGCACTTATTTTAAAATGTTTGATATGACACATCTTATAAAAGCAAAACCAGTAATGGTGCAGTTGTATATTTACTGCGAGTTGTATTTTTTTAAATTGAAGTCCTACTGTGACTACAACTAAACTGGTATGAGTGTTGATAGTGTGGTAAAATGTCAGCTTGAAAAATACTTTACATTATTTCAGATAAGTAGTATCCTCGTGGCTGTACTATCATTGATGCACATGCTTTCCACATCGTGCTTTACTTTGTTATTCAGTTCTCAGTCACACATACCAGAGCTTTAAGGCCTGAAATCAAGTGTGCAATATTCAAGTTTCGCTGCTCATGCCTAAATGGGTAACAGTCCTGTTGTGTTTCCTTTGTGGTGCTGAGTCAGACCAACGGAGAGGAGTGTTTACGCAACACCGTGTATGACAGTGCAGACGTTTTAACCGTTGAAATGACACAGAGGCAAAACATGGTCTCTTACTTCATGTTCATGTTGAAGTAACTTACTCAGACAAGCCCATGTCAAATGTATACTGCATAAATAGAGAGAAGAAGACTCCTCAGCTCTAAACAATAAAAAGAAACAACGCTCAAATCTCCTCACCTGTGTGTTTGTTTCCCAGGACGCCATTAGGCAGGGCCAGAGCTTGGTTGCGTCTGGCGCTAATGCAGAAACGGTTGGCTGACTACCTACGACTCCTCATCACCAGAAAAGATCTGCTCAGGTACACACTATGGGTGTAACGATTCATTTTAACAACCATTTGATTCGAATCGCAATTCATGGTTGCCGATTCGATTCATGGACGATCTGGGTTAATTTAGGACGATTCGATTCAGTGACTTGAAATCAATTCAGTAACTTTACTTGACAGTGCAGGCAAAGTTTCTGAGATCCCTGTTGTTTCTTGTAAGGAAATCAGGTTTAAATTAATCATGGATATTATAAACAACAATTAATGGCAAATGTATTAACCTTTTATTTGAATCAAGTGCAACAATTTTCAATGTAAACATTACACAATAATTCCACAATGTTTGGATCAATTCACAGAACCCCGGATTTTCAACCTCATTGTAGGGTCGCATGTCTTTACAGATAAACTTGGCAATTGTTACTGTGATGTTGAGTTTGGTGCTGGTGAGGCCTGAGGTGTCTGCAGAGCTGGAGTTACCTTCTGCTGCTGCTGCGGTAACGCTGCTAGAGGCGCCTGACTGTCGGCGTTGTTTAATCGCATGGCGCCTTAGTAGATGGCTGGAAAGATTCGGCGTGTTTCCGTAGTTTTTGTGGTCTGTGGTTCTGTGGTCTGCGTACTGATGACGTCACAGACAGACGGCAGACTGAATCGAGTAACGTTTAACATGTCTAAAGTGCTAAAAAACAAACAAACGCACATCCATACCGTTTTTGTACTTAAATCCAATGTGCAGTTTCCAAGTATCGATACAATCGATAATGTACCATTTCAATCGATTTGTAATCGATATATGTCGTCTGGAATGCCGATTTGCGGAGCACAGATCGATTCAGTTGGATCGCAGCAATATAAATCGATTAATCGATTCAGTGAATGAATCGTTACACCCCTAGTACACACACATCTGCTCTTAGCAATTGGTAAATTTGACTTGTTACGAAAAATATACAGTATTTGAAGTATCAAAGTTTATATATTTTTTAACATTTCCTTGGATTTTTTTTTAATTAATCAAGTTAATTCTGTATTTATTCCAAATTCTATTCACCAATCCAGCAGTTAATATGGTAAATTCTCTTAAATAAAAACCCTAATTATCTTTTACCTAAGCTCCCACACGTGTGTGCTTAACTGTTGTATTTCCCTGCACAGTGATTTCTATGAGCATTCCGCGCTGATGCTGGAGGAGGAGGGAGCCGTGATAGTGGGCCTGCTGGTGGGCCTTAACGTCATCGATGCTAACCTGTGTGTCAAGGGCGAGGATTTAGACTCCCAGGTGACCACTGCGCCGTGTAAAGCTGATGTCTCTCCATGATTGCATCTTATTCTCTGCTCGCACAAAACTAAGCACAGAACCAAACGTCTGTCTCATTTCAATAGAAATGACTCTACTTCCTAAAAGTTCAGTCATATGAAAAAGTTTATCATAGTGTTTATCACGTGTTTGTTTTGTCATGTTATCCTGTCATCAGGCTGAAGGAGAGCTGTGGTGTTATGTTTCTACAGGTGGACACTTTGTCCTGAGTGCAATAACATTCTCCCCCTGAGTCAAACTCCCTGTTCAGACCGTGTTTACACCTGATTTACACCTGAACCCGATGTGGCTGAGATACTTAACATGAAGCAATATGGGATAGTTTGTTCTGAACCGGCACACAAATCACCACGCAGTGATTGTACGTTCGCTGGCAGGTGTAGAAGAGGTCTGAGTCCATTCCTTAAGCCGAGATGATACAAGAAAGCGTATTTGGTTACTTATTTTTATGGGTGCAGTTAACAATTATTTTCATTATTTGTTAATCTGCATAAAAGCAGTTATTTTCTCAATCATTGGACAATGAAATGTAAAGAAATTGTCAAAAAAGCTTATCAGAGTCCAGTGACTTAAACAATAAATTAAATAATGATTGATTGATTGATTTGAATGTTTATTTAGACTCTAACTCCATAGACTATTGTGATTTTTTTTTTTGGAGGTTTTTTTTGTGCAATTAGTAAATGCATTCAATGCAGTGGATATTAACTGAATGCTATCTTATTTACAATAAGCACTTACTTTATTTTGTCAAACCACATAATCGTAAAACATCTCCGGTTCTTTCAATTGTATAACAGCAAAACGGAATAAAAGGTTGTGCAAACATTGCTTTTCAGAATAAATAAATAAAATAAATAAATCTATTGATGCTAGCTTAGCTTATTTTTCTTCCCTATTTCAGGTTGGGGTGATTGACTTCTCCATGTACTTGAAGAATGACATTGATGATTACAGGAGTGAGGAGAGGTATGATCTTTCAATGTCTCCCCATTTAATTAAATTCGCTGGTGCTCTTAGCGCCCTCGAATGTGATGCAGAGCTCTGTTTCCATGGCAACAGGAATAGCCAGATATCGTCAATCCTGGATCAGAAGAACTATGTAGAGGAACTGAACCGACAACTCAAGTAAGACATTTGTTTTTCATTGGAAACAGACGTGTCTGCAGGGGTGTCATGGAGATGAGAATGCAAGTTTACAGTTATATGTTGTAGTTCTATGAAACCACTCTGCTTGTTTCAGAAGTACAGACTGGCTCGTTTAAGCACAGACTGTTAATCACACTTCCTCTATTAGTCTGTTTTTTATCACAAACTTGGTGTCACATTTCAATGGAACTGGATTGATCTAATCCTTAAATGCACCTGTGTTTCGGGACTCCACCGATGCAACTTTTTCAGTCCTGATATCGATAATCCTGATAACCAATACCAGTGTTTAATTAATGAGCTGTATGCCACACTGCATGGTGTCAGGTGACAGATGGTGTCAGGTGACAGGTACCAGGTTTTTATGAGAAGGAAACGTCATGCTGCGTTTATTGATTGTTAAATTGAGATCTGTCAGTATGTGGGGGGGGGGACATTCAGTGAGACTTAAACAGAATCCAATTACAATTTCTGTGTTTGTCTTTCTAGCTCCACAGTTGGCGGTCTTCAGGGCAGAGTGGACTCATTGGAGAAGTCCAACTCTAAGCTCGTAGAGGAGGTGAGACCCACACTCAATTTTGGTGTATCTCGTTTAAACTGAAGGTTTAAGTGCACATCTCTACATCATGACTGACGAGCCTTTGTTATGTTTCACTTGTTACTAAAGGTTTATATATTTATTTGGATCCCCCTGCTTTGCATGTTGTCATGTTTTCATACTGTCTGATTTGACTAATTAGCCAAACATGTTTTGATGAAATCACGGCACTATTGTTTTTTTTAAAAACTTTTATACGTTTGTGTGTGTGCAGTTAGCCATAGCCAAGAACAACATCATTAAACTGCAGGAAGAGAACCAGCAACTGCGGAGTGAAAACAGCCTTATTCTGCAGAAGACACAGGAACATTTAGAGGTACGCATGCACACGTCGAATGTGTTTAATTCCAGAGAAACATTCATTTGCTGAACATTCTGCTGCAGCACAACTTAAACCAACACGTAGATCAAATTGTGCCCGTTTTTATGTCTAAGTGACTAATGGAAAAAGCGTATTTAAAATCTTGTCCAGTACTGAGGGAGAACTCTGCTAAACAGGCTGCGATGTAATCGCTCGTGGCAACTCCTCACCGCTAATGTACGTCCACGAAAAGTTCCTCTTTATGCCTCTGACTGCAAAGTTCCTGCCAATGAATCAGATTGTTGTTTTCAGTGTCTGACGTTATGAAAAGGATCCTACAGAGACTTGTTGCCGTAAGACAACGGTGGAAACACCAGTGTGAGCTAAAGGGGGCGGGGTCATGGGGACATCGCTGGTGGCATCAGAGCTTGTTGTTATCTGAAAGATTTTGTATATCGTGGCTGAATATTAAGGTGATTTACTCAATTAGCATGCAAAACAAGATTCCAGAACCAAACTTCCCCCTGCAAGACAAAAAAATATGCAACAGACTTAAATAAAAGGTATAAAACACCTTCTTTTTTTTTTTGTACCAAGGAAAATCAGCCCCAGGTTGAAAAGTAACAAACTTCCCCTTAAATATTCCATCAATTCTTGCCATCTCTGACTACAAATTGATACATGATAAGGCTGACATGTTATTCCCATTGCTGTTATTTATTCAGGTAACCCAGGGCGACGCCTCAGTGGAGAGAGACACATACAAACAGTCGCGTCAAGGATTAGATGAGATGTACAATGATGCTCAAAGGCAACTGAAGGAAGAATGTCAGCACAGACAGGTTAGTGTGTGTGTGTGTGTGTGTGTGTGTATGTTTACACGTATGTTTACGTATGTTCTATACATGTTGACTTTGTAACAACAGATCACACACATGTATGTGGTTTATTTCTAGGACGTGGAGAATGAGCTGGTAGTCCAGATGTCGATGAAACAGGAAATGGAGTTGGCCATGAAACTTCTGGAGAAAGATATTCATGAAAAGCAGGTCAGCCAACATTTCACTTCACTCTCACTTATTTTTGGAACAGCCATGTACAACATGGCTTAAAACATGAAAGTGGACAAAAAGAAAATACTTTTCAATAAAATACATTTAATTATGTTCATTATTTATTATCCATAATGTCTGTCGGAAAAAAAATCACAAGACATGAAGAATCAACTATATAAAAAGATACCTGGGTGATTATGTGATTTGAATACTACAGGATTTGTGCATTCCATTCTCTCATAGAGCAGTGACATCTTTCTCTCTAGCAGCCCTGCCACCACCAACACGTGAACTCCCCCAAAGGAATGCCAGTAGCAGACATTTGTAGCCAAGCTGGCAAATACAGTAGCTGTCATTGCAGGGGCAGCATCACACCGCCCAACGGCCTCCTGTAATTCAGCTCGCTAAATCACAGTGAAACTGTTGCAGGAGACTTGAAACGATAGTGTGACCCGGACAATCAATACAGGATCCGAACACCAATATAGTCTTTGTTTCTCATCACCAGGACACACTGATCGGACTGAGACATCAGCTGGATGAAGTCAAAGTCATTAACGTAGAGATGTACCAGAAGATGCAGGTAAAAGTAATTACTTGCCGACCCGGTTGTAGTTGTTTCTTCTTTCATACACATTACACATAGTGTCATAATTGTTACTAATGACTTATTGTCATTTGTTAGTCGTCGGATGAGGAGATGAAGAAGAAGAACGACGTGATCACTCGTCTGGAAGAGAAGACCAATCAGATTACTGCCACCATGAAGCAGCTGGAGCAAAGGTGAGACGTGCTGCCTGTAAAGAAACTAACATAGGAATATCACTTAGTCCCACGTGTCTCCTCCTTCTCTCTTTTAATCCTAAAACTTCTCTTGTTCTGTTAAAACCTTTGAACTGCAGTCCATCGATTTCCATTTCAATTACCAAAACGTACACAATCCTCCTTTAACAAGTTGAATGTCTTTTAACAGCTTTCACTCTAATTTTGAACCTGAATTGTATAATAGGACACATAGTTATACATAGTTATTTATATCTCTACACGGTGAAGCTAATAAGAACTGAACTAGGGGAAATCATGATGGGAAATTATTTTGACTTCCTCTTCCTCAGTGTTTCAGAATTTCCACATTTATAAAACCTTCTAAAAGAAGGTTATGATTAAGGTTTTGACCCAACATCCCAACATGTGATAAGTCTCACTTCTGTTACTAGACTACAATAACTAAACAGAATATACGATGAAATACATTAGGGAATGATAAACAATTTCCTTTGGGGAAATCCATATATCACGTGTAATAAATGTCCCTGCTGGTATTTTCATGTTTCTTCTTGGTCACTGCTTAAACACAATCCGTGCACCGTGCTCCATATTTCCGGTCTTCACGAGACCTGCTGGTTCATTGGTGTGTTGTTATTATTCCTCCTCACCTCATTGTCCACCAGTCAGCACAACCCCCCCCCCCCCCCCCCCTGCTCCCATTGGTTTAAATCCGTTCCATTCTATTTGTGATTGGTTGGTAATATTTCTTTGCTGCTCTGAAGGTGTTTTAACGGTAGGCTGGTAGGACACAGACTCCGGTTACAAGCTGTTTTTTAGTCGGGGTTGCAGCTGAGAAACATAATAAAGAGGTTATAAATCGCCTGATAGAGCCGTTGTTTAAGATGGTTTACCAGCTCATGAGAGATAAATCGCCCACTCAGAGTTTGACATGTTGGCTTCTTCAGGCTTACATCTTTCATGTTGATATTTTACTTCTGTAAATTCACTTCACTGTCCACATTACCTTTCTGTGCTTGTCCTCCCCACCTCTTCTCATTACTCATACATATACTGGGGAGTGAAATGTGTTCAGACTGAAGAAATCTGCTTACAGTGGCAGCCTGTGAACAGATTTCTGTGTTTTAATGTCTATTATTCACACTTACTGCTGTGCTTGTGATCTTAAGTCACTTGAAGTGTTCAGTGTAACCGGGGCTACTTAGAAAACTGATGTATTGACATCCTTTCTGCCTTCCTTCCTTTCTTTCCTCCTTCTTTCCTCCCTTCCGTTTGTCTCTTTTATGCCACGCATCCAATCATCCATCCGTCCGTTTTGCTCCCTTGAAACCATGTTTTATTGATTTCCTGATTTTGATCCCCCTCTCCTCTGTGCAGTGACAAGGATCTGCTAAGTCAGACCAGAACGCTTGCTATGTCATTTGTTAAGTGTGCCAGCTCAGACACAGAGCACCAGTACAAGCTGGTCAAGGACATCTCCTTCTGAGGACCAACATGCAGAGACTCACACACGCGCACACCATTCAATCTATAAACAGACTCCACTTAAAGGGACGTTCCTGTTGTTTTGCACACAATATTAAGATGGTTTGATGAGCGGAGAGCAGCCACAGGATCCGGTGGAACTAGAATCCACAGTTTGGTCCGTTGGTCACTGAAACATTGTCATCACAAGCAGATTGCTGGGATCCATTGAGGCCGCTGCAGCGGGTTTCAAGCTCTTTAGTTGAATCCTCCTCAGACAAGATGACTGGGTTTGTGTTGAAACGGTTTTCTCTGAATCTCCCGGTTTAGGTGGTAGGCAAACATTTTTTTTACTGAATACTCTATTAACTGTAATTCATTGAAACATTTTGAGTTAATCGCTCACTCATTTATTTATTCACTGACATGCTCAGCCGTGTGCACAAACACACATGTATTCACACACACACACACGTGCGTATACCACACATTCTTCCTGCCTCCAGTAGTCGGTTTATATGCAGTAACCCTGACGGTCACATAGTTGACTCAGAGATGTCGTGGTTGTTGTAGTTCAGTGAGTGTAGTGGCCGTTCCTGCTTGTTTCTCAACACTGAGCTACTGATTAACAGAGTTTAGTCCCTGTAATATTTAGGGATTGTGTAACTTATTGGGTCGTGATTGTGACACAACTTGAGCTGTCTCTTTACTTTATTGCAGACAACATTGTTTTGGTCTAAAGCACGAGTAGGATCACGCAACCTGTCGGTCAGTGGTGTTCACTGTACATGTAAAGGCAGACTGCAGTTTGCTTTTTGCAGCCTCCTGCAGTTGTGTTGTTGCATCACGTGACCTGCTTCTGATTGGCTGTGATGAGCTGTACCTGATTTCTTTCCCTGGATCACTTACTCATTATTCTTTATAAAATAAACATCTTACTCTGTGGGGGGCAGTAAATTAAGGACACACGCAGAATGTTTAAAATGTTATTGTGGGATTGAAGTAAGGCACCTGCCATGATTGCTACTTTTTTCGTTGTATTGTACCTTTTGGAGGACGCAACATTGTTTTTAGATTTTACTCACTGATCAGTTAAAGTGGCAAAAGGTTAGTTATACTGCACTCCACAGTAAAACTGGGAGTGATTTCATACAAAGAAAAACGGGTAGTGATTTTGTGCATAGATTTAACAAAGCTGAAGGTTGTAAGGTTTTGCAGGTGTATTGAGGTCAGTGGACCAACAGCTTGAGCTAAATTCATGTGCTTTGTTTCTACGAACCGAGCTGAGACAAATGTAAAGAATCTTAGACACACGGCTCTGAACCTCTGCAGTATCTCTTAAGGGAACTTTAATGTGTTGTTGTCTCTTGTCTTGTCATCTTAATGACCTATATGATAGATCAGGAAGTAATCATTTTACAAATTCTAACTCTGTGTTCATAGTACTCAATAGAACTTCTTTTCTTTTTATTAAACAATTTTTAGAAGAAAAAAACATACACTACTCTCTATTATCACTGTGATCAATAAAGGTAGATGGTTTTAAGTATTGAGTGTATTTTGGGTTTTTGGCCACGTTCCGACTGCTCTTAACTGGTAGACACTGGACATGTATTGAGTAATAAAGATCTTAATCCACTGGGATGATCCTTGTCCGAGCACTATGCTACATTATGTTAGCTATCATCCTTTTGTCTTGTTTGATGAAACAATGTTTTCCCCTCATTGTTTCATCCATTGGTATTCTATACTGTTCTGTTTTGAATACCTCGATTCTTCATTCCTCTGTCTAGGTTTTATAGTCTGGTGTTGTAGCAATGAAAACACGAACCTACCCCAAACATCTTCATCCCTTCCAACCAGACACCTCCAGCCCCTAATCTCCCTCCTCACCCTCGTCCTCTTTCCTGTCTTCCTCTATTATTTTTTTCCCCCTCTTCCTCCAAATCCCCGCCCCCCCCCCCCCCCGCCCCCTTGTTTTTTCTCTCCATGGCCCTGAGTTTGTCCCTGGTTATAATGGTGCAGATTACAGGAGGCAGAGAGGCACCGCACTTCGGCCGAGGAGGGGACCAGGCGCTTCAAGTTGGACTTTGCCAACAAGGCCGACAGCCTGCAGCGGCAAATCGAGCACAGAGAAAGGCAACTGTGAGCAAAACCCCTTCAAAGATGGACAGATTGGTAGACTCGCACACTTAACCAGAGCTCAGAGAGAGATACATCGTAAACACACCATATTCTCTGTTGGATGGCAAGCCGGCTTCTAGTGATAATGCGTATCTCAATGAAACTTTCATAGACAACATGTAGAGAGCAGTGTGCCTTAATATGATCTGTTACTCAGCAGCTCCTGCTTGTCACCTTTATTACTGTTGGTGATGTGCTTGTGTTTTTGTGGCGTTCCTCCAGCCAGCAACTGGAGACGGACCTGAAGATCGAGAGGGAGTGGAGGCAGACGCTACTAAACGATCTGGAAAGGGAGAGGGATACGGTGGCTCAGCTCAGCACCGAGGCGCTTCAGATCAACGGGCTGAAGAAGGTAAAAGGACGGGGATCATCCCACGCGCATCGTGTATTTGATAATCTGTTTTATTTTAGAACATCGCTTTGTGCGTGCGCAGCCTTTGCAGAACGGGATCTGATTTGCTTGGATGCATGTCTTGTGTTTTCTTCTCAGGAGTTCCATCGTCTTCACGATGAAAACGTTCAGCTGAAGACAATCTGTGAGGATCAAGAACAAGCTCTTGAGGAACTAGGCTCCAAGCTGAGCGAGTAAGTATGCTGGGGGGTTTTTGTTTGTTTTTTAGGCGGTCTGCTAAGTGAACCGTTTTAGATTGTGGTTGTTAAAGGCCAATGATCTGTTTCGTTTTCGTTTCCAGTTCTTGTGAACGTGATATTTCACGAACGCATGAGAGGAATTTCATTAAATCAAATACAAACATCGACTGGGACTCGAGGACGAACTTATTAGAATATTGGTGGTTGTGCCAGTGAAGGTCACCTTACAAAAAAAGGTTTTGTCCTTAACTTCCTTAAGATGTCGAATGGAAATTTCATACAGATGTCTAAGATTTAAATGATGGAGTGATGACGTTCATCTCCAGTTGGCAGACGCACAGAGCTGTGAGGCGTATCAGGCTGGTTGCGTTTACTTGTTTTCTTTACATAGCAGTTTTATTTATTTTTTGTCATCAGATCCAAAATGAAGATTGAAGACATCAAAGAAGCAAACAAAGCTCTTCAGGTAAAGTCAACACAGCAAACGAATGTCTTCTATTGTTCAAATGCCTTTCTAATCCAAACCCTTTCTATCACTACAAATGAAAGTTATATCCGATATTAATAAAAGAGAAATCAGAGTAGCAAATATGGTAATTCTTATGTTTTATGAGGGGAGACTGCTCAGATGTTTTATTAGGTATTTATAGTAAAGTGAGGCTCAAACTGATATGTAAAGTATCTTGCTGTTGCAGGGGGGGCAGGTGTGGTTAAAGGACAAGGACGCCAGCCACTGCAAGCTGTGTGAGAAGGAGTTCTCCATCTCTAGACGAAAGGTACGTCAGCACATCACCACAGATTTCCTATTCTGCGTTTCGCGTCTGAAATTCTTTATTTAAACTATCATTGTACTGGAAATCCTCTCCGGATCCCTCATAAGTTGTTGCGGAGGTTAATGATCCCCATACTTTGTCGATTGCTAACTCATTTGAAAGCCCTTCCATTTGTATTTATATCGTTTTGACCGCTGTTCTTCAGCCGGTAGAGCAGAAAGTCATTTATAGTTTTCGTATCCGACAACAACCGCATTCTGTGTACAATGAATGAGGAAATATTCATGCATAATGAGACAACTTGCCGGGACTCAACAAGAACGTTGAGGTGATAAATGTTGCTGCCGAAAAGCACCACACAGCAATGTTAACTTTAGTGTCAAAGACTCTTTCTGTATCTCTGCCCAGCACCACTGTAGGAACTGCGGGGAGATTTTTTGTAACAGCTGCTCTGACAATGAGCTCCCTCTGCCCGCCTCACCCAAACCAGTCCGAGTCTGTGACACCTGCCACGCCCTCCTCCTCCAGCGATGCTCCTCCAATCCAACGTGAGGGAACCATCTGACATCAGACCGATTGCTCCTCCGGCCGATCGGTCAGATCCTCCTCCCACCCTCTCTCATCAGAACCGCTGCTCGAAACGGGCTGTGTGAATAAACATTTAGCGCGTTTGATTTGAAAAAAAGAACTACTTTACAATGATCTAATGAGCACTGCCTCTTCTAAATGCAGATTATCAACCAAATTTAAGTCTTTTGAAGGACTGCATCATCATCGTTGTCGTCGTCATTGTTATAATGTATGTATCACACGTCAAACCGATAACAGTAAATGTACAGCCAAACAGATGGCATCATATATTTGATCATGGCTTTGTTACAGGATGTCTTCAGGTGGAGGGAAACGAACACAAACATAAAGGCACAGGCACCAAAAAAAAATCTAAATACTAGATACGCAACGTTACTCCAAGGAACTTTCATTTCTGGCAACCCCTGTGGAGAATGTGGTGGTGTTTCCCTTTACAAAGTCGCTGTGGAGCCGGCAGCACGGCCTGGGTCTCCGGCAGCGGGGGGGGGGGGGGGGGGCGGTGTTTCTCCCCTGCAGAGTCTGTGGGGGAGCAGCAAAGCCAAGCGCCTCACAGTAAGACGAGAGGCTGCTTTTTGGAAACATGAACTGGATGCGTTTCAGTCAAATCAGGCCTGAGAAGATCAGGGCTGGTTAAGCTTGTTTTTTGTCCCCGTTTTAATTGCGGCCGTTTCAGGAGCGACATGGAGATATATTTTGTGACAGAGAGACTTGAAATGAATTCAAGGAAAAGCTCTCACCTCCAAGAAGATTTTGCTGACACGATAGATTTTGGGGTTGTGGGTAGTAAAGGAACTTTGGAGGTTTTCTTACCAATGTCTGTGCCGTTTGTGCCTGTGTGTAAAAGCCCATAATTCTTTCCCTTGCTTGCGCTTCTCATGTTGCCAAAATGAGCCTGAAATGCGAGGCTTTCTGTTGAGGGAATCTGAAAATAGTTAGCAACTCTAAATAATATATAGATATCTATATATTGTTATTATATCTATAAAATAAATAATAAATTAGCAACTCTAGCCCAGCAAAGCCATCTCCAGAAAAGGCACATTTCACTGTTTTCAAACACTAACGCATTGGAAGCTGCTTTTAGGACCAAGAAGGGCAACAAATGCCGTCGTCGCTGGTCACAGATGGAGATGGGACTTCTTAAATGTTTTTTTTAGTCGATAAAACAATAACGGTTTGCTCACAACACGACCACTTCACTAACTACTCGGTGGTTAAGGACAGACGGGAGTGTTGCACTCCTCCACAATGGCCGGCTGGTTTCAGCACTTGGCAATCTTATATATTACCTCTTATATAGATTTATTTGAAAGTATTTATATTGGATTTTGTATTTCATGCACATTTTTACTTTCAGAAGTCCAGGGAACTTGTCTTCATGCTTTCCTTGTTCACCTGAAGTAAGTTGAGCAGATGGGGAACCGCAATTTACTGCTGCTCTATTAGTGAGACGAAGGGTTTGAAACTCTAAGCCAATTGTGTTCCTCTATGTTTATTGTGTTAAACTAATGCTGATGACTGTACAGTCTTCAGTGACGGGTTCATTTTATGATTTCCATAAGCGCTATGATACGAGTTCCATTGCACATTCTGGTTTTTATACTTGTAAAATGTTTACATCCTATGACTTTTCAAGTACCGGAAGTATTCATTCCTATGAAAAGATAAAACAAGCCTGCGTTTATTTCGATCCAATTTAACGTGTTTTTTATTGTAAAAATATTTAAAAACTGACCATTGTATTATATCACCACTAAGTAATACAGGCAAATTGCACCCAGGCCTAAAACCTTTTTGTACGGTGTCGTTCTTACGAAGTCTGACAGCTTTCAATGGGACTTAAACTGTTGACACCACTGTATGTTGTATTTACACAATTGTTGATAATCACAGTGACTCTTTAGTTAACTGAATCCCACCAGTTTAATATTATCAACTCATGCCAACAATATGCTGTTTTTCCTGTGTAGCAGTTTCTGATTAAATCACATCACAAACATGTTCATGTTTACCGTCACATTAATGTTTGTCATCGAAACTTCTCCTGTAAAGATTTACTGTGTTTGGGTCGTTTTCTATTTCGGTCTCTCTGAAAGCAACTCTAATTTAAATCCACATTAACACACCTGCTGAATAGCTTATGACAGTAAAATCATACCATTTCTTTTAGACGTTTTCTATCACATATTAGACTTTTTTTGTGGCACACATTACTTTGACAGGACGTTGGTCAAACCTGCTCTTTGGCTTCTGTGGGGAGTTTGTATGTCGTTCCCGAATAAGCAAGTGATCTTCTGCGGCTGCCTCTCATAGTCCAGTCAGGTCATGGTTTTTAAGACAGTTTTATGGCGTACTGAACAATGCCACTTTCTATGAAAATGTTATGACTATTACATCATTTTCTACGTCACACTTTTCGTGTAAGATTATGTTCCAACATTTGATTATATCTCCTAGCTTGTGCTTTTTTTTTTATTCCCCAACTACATAACATCATCTTCTATAATTAAACCCAAAAGGAGGCACTTTAACCCAGATGGGCAAACATATCTTCGAAAGTGAAAGTGAGAATCTTTGTTCTCCTTTAATGTAAATAATCAACCTATTTATACACCTCAGTTATACAAATGAAACAATTTACAGTAGATTTAGATCATTTCCTTTTTAGTTATTGCTTTTAACATTAAAATGTAATAATAAATACCTTTTTTCAGAAGTGATTTCAGTCAGGGAGGCAGAAAGAATTAAATATAAAATTTATTATGCAAAATGTACAACAGCTGCATAAGCGATCTTGCAGCTCAAATATAGACTTTATTTGCTTCCCACTCTTCAAGAGTGGGATAAAATAAACTTGGTTTTAAATTCTGCAATATGTGAAAACATTCATTAAAAAACTAATAGGCTCACATTTATCAAATTTTTCAAACCAAAAAAGCTGATCTGAAATGCAGGATGGTCAAATGTTCTACTAAAAATGCATTTAAATCAAAATAAACCAAGAAGTAACTTTCTTTTAATCAGAATTTCTAACCTAGAGAAACTTTTGGAGAATCTTTTGCCGTAGCTTCTCACTGCTCCACCTTTCTAAAGAGCATCTTTCAACTTAACGCTCCTTCAGAGTCCAAGCAGTTAAAATCATTTGATTAGATTCTAAATGACTGATCAATCTCGTCAGGGCAACAAAAGTTGTTTATTTTCTTCTTTTGCACCAAATCTCGATGGAACTTTGGTTGCGTCTCATCTGCACTGAAAACATATCCTGCCTGATATGTGAAGAGAAACAAATGTGTGTCCCCGGGGTCGCAAAACAAACCATTTCAAAACACTGATTTCTCTTCATAAAATCACTGGAGAAATTATATTTTTGAGAGTGAATCATGAAAAACTATTACATACTGTAATATAATTTATAACAATACAAATATATATTATTTTACAATATAACAAAAAATCTCATGAAGCGTTGCACATGTCCGCCACTTAAATCAATATAGTTATTTTGTCCTTCATATGCTTTAAGGAATGGTGTAATAATAGTGCTTGTTAAGTCTGATCTGTTGTCAATTTAGGTTTCATTATGACACAACAATAAACAGAACAATCTTTACAAAATAAATGACCAACTTGGGATCAGCTTCTTTGCCCAGAAAAAAGAGAGTAAATGTGGCCTGAATGGAGGCGAGACGAACGTGAAGATGGTTTGGAAAAGTGGGAGGACATCAGTAAGAACATCGCAGCCCGCAGCTCCGTGAGCCTCCGCTCCCTCCCAGGTTACCGTAGTAGTATCCACCTCCACCTCCACGACCTGTGACGGTTTTAAAAAGATAGGAGGGGGACATGTCTCATGATAGTAATGACAGGGTTCAAAAATAGCTAACACGAATTGTTTATTTATACTTGAATTAACATTATTGTTAATAGGAACTCACTCATTTCAACTGCTACGCTGGCTGTGGAGTTAAGGAACAGCTCAATATACCGATGTTCTGTGGAGAAAACACAGATCCATCATTCATTCTGAACAACTTGTGTTTCTGCTGCTGTTAGGTGGTTTTGTGTCATGAAGGTAAAGTGAAAAAGAGGCGTCACAAAAACCAGTAAGTTGAGGAGTTAAAAAAAGGAGGTCGTACGCATGTGGTTCTTGTCTTTGGACATGGCTTCTACGGCATCTTCATGGGAGCGGAACTCCACATCTGCTTCTCCCGTCGACTTGCCGTTAGGAGCCACGTCGATGTGGACCCTCAGTGGATTCAAAGGAGAGAAGAACTACAAGAGAAACATTTAGTCTCATGACAATCATTACGAGTCGTTTCTCTATTACTGTTTATGCTTTTATTATAATATTACATCCACTCCTGTTGCTAATTGTCATATTCAACATTTCTTTTGTATGGAGTGCCTATGTTGTACTTTTATTATGTTGTTTATGTATACTAAAAAATGGAAATGAAAATTGCATATTAAGATGAAAGTTATCTTGGCTTCCTAGTTCGTGACCTGTAGCAATAATGATTGCTACAGGTCACAAGGTGTCGACCGAAAGTCTGAAACGGAGGATCAAACAATGATTGTCACAATATTCTAACTTTATAAGTGAGAAACTTTAGCCAGATACAAAAAGCTTTAGAACTAACATGCTTACTTACAATATGTACATTTGGTAGTTCAATGGAAGGCTCTCTAGTGCGTTCTATGCCACTAAAGAACCTTGTAGTGGAGGAAACTAAATTTACAGTTTTCGAAACATTTCAAAACCTGCTGATGCAGTAAATCGAGCCCCATTGTTCATCAAAGGTCCATGAGAAGTGACTAAAAGTAACACGTTAGTGAGAGGACTTACTTTGGCAATGTCTCCCTCTATGGCACGGAAAGGTAAACCCCTCATGTGGACAAAATGGCCGCTGTGGAAGCCTGTGTAAACGTCCCCTTGACCAGCATAACCGTGGCCCCCCATCCCTGAGCCACAAACACACCCATAGATCACCACTGTAACCTTTAGTAAGCTAGAAGACAGACGCGTTTTGGTTCACAACAACAACAAGATTGATTAAATAAAACAGCTGAGGAAGAATGTACAAATGTTTAGAGAAAGTATGAATGACTGTAAATCGTCAAAAGGAGTCTGAGGGACAACAAGCTGAGGTCAAATAGTTGCTCTACAAAACCAATCCTAATCCTACTCCTCTAATAATTGGAAAGACAACATGTCAAGTGAACAATGATCAAATGTAAATAAACGACTAGAAGACATTTGGGGCTTTTAGCAGGAGATCCAAACAAATGATCGATTTAGGCTTTCACATTAATTCAGCATTTCAAAAGGCTTTAAAGGGGGTAAATACGTATGGGACTTTACCTCTTCCTCCCCTCTCTCCCCTCACTCGCTCATCAAACATGCCGTTGCCAAAACAGTAGTTGTTGAAACCATTGTAGCGGTCAAAGTCACTGTAACCTGGACACATAATTAAACCAAAGCAGGTCTCATTCTTCACATCACAGTCCAACATGGTAATAATCTGTTGTTCACCGCATGGAAACAATTGTCTTCATAATATCTGATACAGAGATGACATTTATTTTTACAACCAACACCTGAAAGCCATGAAGGCCCTTGCAAATGAAAAGCTGTGAGTCGCAGGTCTGCAGCCTGCTGGATAAACCTACGTTACATGTGAACTCTTCTTCACTTAATTCTCGACACTATATTGAAGCAAAAACACAGGCTTCTGTATGCTTCAAATAGATTGTTCTACAAAGCACTAACTTCTCAGTTCAACCACAAAAGTACACACGTGCATAGATACAGAACCCGGCTCACCTCCTCCATAGCCCCCCCCACTCCTCATGGTTTCCATCAGAGCGCCGCCGCGGCCAGGCCCAGGCCCGTAGAACCCTCCACGGGGTCCCCCCATCATGGGTCTATCATAGGGCCCCGGTCTCTGACCTGCCATGCCCCGCCGGGGCAGCTCGTAGTAGGCTCTGATCTCATTGCGATTGCTCTTAAAAATCTCTATATACCTGCAACATGAAATCCCCATGGGGTGCAGAGGAGAGGGTTAAGGGGAAGAAGTGGCTCAGCTCAGGTTACATTCATTTCACAGTCAGAGAGGAGATAAAGACCCAAAAGTATTCTAAATGGTAGGATAAATATTATTTTCTTGGAGCTGAGGTTCTGGATGACTGAACAACATCAACAAAATATTGTCATTAGCTGGGCCGCACAGGATTTTTAACACCAACCCAACTTCTCATTAAAATAAAGGGAATCCTCAACGGCCCTTAAGTGTCGCATTGATAATTTTAATGATACAAAACTGAAGAAAAAAGGTTTGAAGCTATAATGGTGGAGGCTGCCTTGACTGACCTCTATGCTAAAACCCCCTTTTCAAAATGCTTTTTTTTTTACAAAAAATGTATAAATGGAATTTACAATAAAATGATCTAATATACCCAAAAGTTCATTAAAGCTCACTGTTAACACAGTTAAACTGTGTCTAGCATTAAACACTCATGCCAGCTTTCATTTTCAGATTATATATATCATCCCATTATTCAACAACACAATACATAAATCCATTGAACCCATGCCCTTATCATTTGATAAATAACACATGACCCACCCAATGAATTGACCCACTTTATTATTGTTTTACCAAAATCATTACACCAACCCATGCTTATCATTCCACCATTACAGAAGCCATCCCATTATTACTATAATATGACCGCCCATTAAATACTGTAATAGAAGCCCAACCCAGTCCAGCCCGTCCCTTTTCCCATCTGTCCCACCTGTGCCCTATTCTTTCCTTGTGTTTCCCCAGAGCCTTTTCTGCTATCTCCTTTGAGGCAAACTGCACGAAGGCTTCCCCTGTGCTCCTCCCCTGGTAGTCCACTGGCAGAGTAATCCCATTTGGCACGATTCTCAACCCTTTAACCCAAGCACACATAAATACATAGGTCGGTAGGTAGACTGATAGATGTGTAGAATAGAAAGAACAACACCCACTGCATCGCTGGAGCTACCAGGACTAATACACGTCAATGACGGCAAATAGATATCAACTGCAGTATTGAATCAAACTGACTTTAAAATAGAGGCATCTCTTTAAAGTTGTACGGGGCTTGGCAGGGAATGACACAAATACTGGCCTGGAGTCAGTAAAACATTAAGTGGATTCAGACTAAATATCTTCTCTTATACACAACTGAATTAAGGTAAACTAAATAATGACTCATTAGTGGTGAATTGGCACTGCCGTATAATAGTTATTAAATGGTGATAATCTTAGAAGTACTGACCCCGGATCAGCATTATAGAACGGTCTCCCCTCGGCCAAACCGGCCCAGCCCGTAACAACTTTGAACCCCTTTTAAGAGGGGATGATCACATAATATGCATGTTAAATTAAGTGTAACACTAACACGGTAAGAGGCATACTTACAATTCACGTTTGGTGATAAATTCAGAATTGCAGTTGGGCGAGTGGCCATATAGCACTTTTTTTCTGGCTTTAAAGCTTTGGCAGAGACTTCAACTAGAAGCACTCAGAGTGGCTACACAAAAAAAGTCAGAGTGCTTTAAAAAATATAAGCTGGATGCAGTTTTTTCCTCCTGAGCCGCATATCCCATTTCCTTATTGGGGACGATAGAGAAATTGTTTGAAAACTGCTCGATTCAATCCACCTAACCTAATAGTGGACTTTATCTTTGACTTATTTCATTGAAAATTATCTTTATCTTTTTGGATTGCGCTGCACTGCAGGCCAAGATGCTCTTTTGCACATTTTAAAGCTAGCTGTAGTTTTGTCAGTACCCTTACGCTGTGGTTTCCACAGGCAAAAGACTTCACCATGCGTGTACACTATTTCCTCAGATTAATAAAAGAAAAGTTAAAATGTTTTTGCACCTGAGAAGAACTGAACAATCTCCTCCTTGCTGCAGCCAAACGGAAGGCCTCGAAGTCGCAGCATGCAGCCGGTGCAGCTGTCGTAGTCAGCAGGGCCGCTACGTTTTAGCACCCAGTCCATTTCACTACGATTCGACTTGAACACTAAAAAGAGACACATACAGGGGGAAACACACAAATCATGATCTGATAAGACATTCAAGCTTAACAACTTTGTGTAATAGAGTTTGGTTTTAAGTCGCACACAAAATACGTATCAATTCAATAAAGGTGAGCGAAGAAGCAGACTTCAAAATGCACGGAAAACAAAAGCAACAACATCTCCACAGGGAACTATCAGCAACAGATGATGTTGCACTCTTTCCATCAAAAACCTCTCACGATGCAACGAATGTTTAAACAAAAAGACAAGACACTCACTGGCGCATCACTCAGTTGATACCTAATGTTATGTTGCTCACCTTCTATGTAACGGTGTCCCATGTATTTACGGTCCTTGGCGAGGGCATTCTTGAAATCCTCTGGCATCGTCAGTTCAATAAATGCCTCGCCGCTGGGACGGCCTTCTTTAGAGTAGGTAAAGCACACTCCGTTTACTTGGCCAACGATGTCACAGTCTGTGAAACGGTAGTAAGATTGAGTGGGATGCCCTTTTAACTGATACATTGGACACAAGACAAGTTGTTAGAGGGAGAGAAGGCTCTTGAATACACTCAAGTCAAATATCACTTACACTAACATGACCCATAAAAATCGCTTTCGTGCAACTTCTTTAGAATGTGAAATAGTTTCTCTTTTACGGCCACAATCAATAGAAAATAATCAGGTGCAATTGCAATACTTCATCTTGTGTTTTACATGTTCAAACACATTGCACAGCCAAAGGTAGTTTTATGTCATTTCTGAATATCCACTTGTGTTAATACGATCATACATGTACCACTCCACATGCACGTGTATGTGTTCTCACCAGAGAAGAAGCAGGCAACCTCCTCCTGCGTGCACGACCACGGTAGTCCTCTGATCCGAACCACATACCCCTCTTCATTACACGACATTCTCACTGCCACGGGGAGCAAAACACAGCAGCGACACAGGAAATCACGTGTCAATAACACAGTCATAAAACACAGGCACCTGGCCTAACGTCAAGTCTGTCACGCCTTCCGGTTCAACGCGAAAGGGCGCTGTTCTTCCTCCACATCCCGACCTCTCCCCCCTCTTCAGCTGTCGTTAACCTCCCCGTTAAAAACGGTAACCTCACGTGTGTTACTTCTACCTTCAAACCGTTTCTCACAGTTAAGAGTTGACAACCGAGAGCCCGGCGAGCTAACGTTACCACACCTCAACTTACTAAGACCCTTCCAAACATATCATAGCGATACGTTATCTCCTCTTTGATGAGACGACAGCTTCTAGTGTAGCCACAGGGTAACGCATGTCAGCTTGGATGCTGGGTCATCTAACAATGATAACGTCTTTTAACAGGGGTGACATGCTAATCTTAACGTAGCTAGCAGTTAGCCGGCTAGCAACTGTGGCTAACAGTAGGACACTGACAGCGGTCAAACGTCCCGGGCAGATTACTTCTTTTTTTATCCCAGCGGTCGTACGCAGTCACTGGACTACATGAGCCGTTATCACCACACAGAAGACTGTCATATGTCGGTGATAAATGTGGGAAAACGTTGAAATGATCTCACAGTCGCTTCTCGTCCCCGGTCTCCTGCCCCGAGGCTCAGGTGTCACTAACGTTACCAACAGCCAGGTATGTTGTTATCGCGAGACTTGGACACGGGAAGATGACGTTTAGGGCTTTAAAAATGTATTTTTAATAAATACTGAGTCATGGGAGAAGTGTAAACGTGTATTAAAGTTGGATCAAAACGAGGATTTTCACTGAACTGTAATATAGCGACAATTACTAATATAACGATATATTGAAAACATCATTTTTCTTTTTCATCATCTTCATATTCTACACAGGCAGAGAACTATGACGCTGGGCCGTTTTTCTTATTATCTATTCTACACAATGTTAATTTAGATATTAGAAATTGTGAGGAGAAATATAACCATAAAAATGCAGATTTAACATGCACTAAAAGATACTTTAAACTGTCAGAACCACAGTTTAGTCGCCCATCAACTTGTTGCTTTACACGACAATGACTAACTCCTTTAAGATTATAGACAAAGGGTCTAAACACCACTCGTGCTGCTGAAAACAAAGGTCAATCATTTGACAGCCTGCCAGAAAGGGAAGCTGGGGGGCACCTGCTGAAACCAAACAGAATGAGAGTAAAGTCCAACGACAGCAGCGAGTCGACTGGGTCAACATTTCCACTGTGACTCTTTTCATTTGAAGTTACTTTAATATTCTTGGCTAATAATAATGGAGATTCCAGTGTACATACTCGATGCCTTTACTAATTTACCGTTTAAGGGAAACCCTGCAGCAATTTGTCCTCTAATGCATGTGAGTACAAATTAGGTTTAGGATTACAAGTAGTTCATAATGACTTAAACCACCTATTACATTTTCAGTGATATCAGTTTTTATTCAAGGCTCAAAACTACTTCATTTATTGATTAATATTACATTTTCAGTAAGTAAAATTCACCAGTTTCTGTCGCTTGTAAGCCACATTATTACACAATTTGTTGTATAAACATAATCTTTTTTTTTCAATCATAGTCACTGTATAATGATTGCATTTCAAAACAAAACACATATGTTTGTGTATTATGTATGTGTTTCCAATAGGAACTGAGAGATGACTTGTATCAGAGGATAGCAGCAGAAATGAACCTGTCAGAAACAGCTTTCATTACCAGAGTCAACCCCTCTGAAAACTTTACCACAGGTCAGATCATATTGGGTTTCATATATTTTTATTCTTGATATCATTTCATTATGTGATTAAACCTTGCGTTTTTACAACCATTACCAATGCACTGCCTATGTATTGTTATTGAAGCTGTTTGAGAACGGGGATAAAAACAATATGTTGAGCAAGCAATAAAGACATAAATACCAGCTAGTGGCCAATAGAATAGAGCCTCGTGGTCATCACAGTGTTTAATCTGTAGAGTTATTTATATTTAAAAGAATATTTAAAGAAATATTTGGTCCAAAAAGTCTTTCAGTATTTGCTGAGCCATGTATTATTGTCAGGTATGCCTTGAATATGTTCTTACATTTATTACATTTACACAGTGCACATATATACAGTGAAATAAAAGTACATACAGTTGAATAATTTCTTAATGTCCTTCTCTCCACCACCTGGTCTGGATTGAGGTGAACATTTGCTAAATTAAACCTGTGATTAACAGGATCAAGGTTCCGACTGCGATGGTTCACACCAACGACTGAAATTAACCTGTGTGGTCACGCCACTCTGGCCTCAGCCGCGGTGCTGTTCAAGCATAAGAGTAAGTTACAAAACAATCACACACAGACACTAACAGCATATTTTAGTACCTTTTCTGTTATAATCCAGTTATCGCATTGGCTTGATAAGGAACCCGAGAAAAGACAAACACATAGAAACTCATTAACTAGGAGGAATTTGAAACCCTTTCTAATGATTAGCCTGACGATAACGTAATACACAGTAGAGCTGGATACAAGTATTTTTAGCCAACATTATGTTCTTTGTTGATTTATTGCGTCTGTCAGAGAACGTGAATCCTAAACTGGTGTTTGAGACAAGGAGTGGTGATCTGGCGGTCACCCAGCAGGGGGAAGGGTACGTCATGGACTTTCCTCTCAACCCACCCACCCAGGAGGTGTGTGATCAGAAAAACACATAATACAATTATAGGTTAAACAATCATTCTTCTCAAAATGTTTATTCATATTAAGAAAACACTCAAACACTCTCTCCTTAATCAGCATCACATTAAGAAAGCAGAAACCTACAAAACTGAAACCACCAAACATTAATCTAACATGCAGCCGCAGCTTTTAGCACAACTGAAATCTGCTCCATTAGCACAGCAAGGTTTTCCCAAGAAAGTTTTTCACTATTTCAAAAAACAAAAAGCAATTATTCTAACAGATTTCCTTCTAAAACCATTTGTCTCAGGATGCAAATGACTTCAGAGACGTCATCAAGGTCAGTTTTATGATCTGCATCATTGTCCATACATGAACACGATAGTTTGTGTTTATTGTGTGTGTGTGTACTTATCTTTGTCTCTGCTCTTGCATGTGTGATAAAGGCTGCAGTTGGAAACCACCCGATCCAGGATGTTTATCTTTGCGCCCAAACTAAAAAACTGTTGGTTCGACTGTCTGACAGCTGTGACAGGTTGTACACACACACACACACACACACACACAGGAATACAGCATAATATGTATCCATCTTCACACGTGGACAAGTGCTTCCTAAACTCCTCACATGTTGAAGTGGCAAGCTTATGTGCTGAAAGTGTGTCTCCTGCAGGTCAGTCCTAACCAGCCTGAAGGTCGACCCCGTAGCGCTCCAGCGCAGTGAGACAAGTGGAAGAGTCAAAGGACTAATCATCACCATGAAAGGTAATACTAGCTAAAAACTAGTTAGACCAGGGCGGAGATTGACAGCTTTATGATCATATGCTGTAAAATGATATTGGTAACAGTCTTCAAAGAAATCAGTGACAGTCGTCTGATGCCTTAACTTACAAACCCTTTATTAGCTTGTCTAGATGTTGCATGATGTCTACTGAAGGGTTCACACCAATTAGCCAACGAATGTGTCACGTTAACGGAACACTGTTGAGACATCAATATTCAAATGCTCATTCTTTATCCGCCAAAAGGATCCCCGGAAATTCAGCCTGGATACGACTTCTACTCCAGATACTTTGCTCCATGGAACGGCGTCCCTGAGGATCCCGTCACTGGTACGACTCCTCCAGTGGCTGCACACTCAGTCGTTGTTGTGTTAGAGTGTATATTATGTCGCAAATTGTTTAAATGGTAAAGTACGTTCTGTCAAAAAGAACAGAAAACGTGTAGGGTCACATGTAAAGCACAAATGCAGTGAAGTTGCCCTTTGTGTCCCTACAGGTTCTGCCCACACCGTGCTGGGGAGCTACTGGTCTAACAAACTGGGAAAGAATAAAATGCTGGGTAATTAATATTTGGTTTGATCAGCAACTTCTCTTCCTCTAATCCAAGGCCATTTAACTAAGCCAGAGGCAAAGTATTGTGTGTGTGAATAACTTAGTATCAGGTGTTGCTGACATTTTATCCCCTTTGTGTAGCGTACCAGTGCTCCAGTCGAGGCGGAGAGCTGCAACTGGAAGTTCGACCTGACGGCAGAATAAACATATTCGGAGAGTCCGTCACGGTGCTGCAGGGAACGATCACCCTGTAGCCACACGCAGAACAGGAGGGTTTGGGTGGATGGGGGTAGTGATTGTGTACCTTCAAAACAGGCTTTGTCCTATGATTTAAAAAATATATAAATAATGAGTCAACTTAAATAAAGCTCTAAACAATGTATTGTTTCAGAATGTTCAATCTAATACCAAGACATAAGCATGCAAACAGACTACAGGACGGAAAAGAAACAACAATAACGATAATATTTATTCTTATAACACAATAGCAGGAATCTCAGTAGTAACAAAATACAGACAAAACATGTAAAATCAGAGGTTGTTTTGGTTTTCAAATACTCTTAATAATTAAAACCTTAAACCAGTTAAATCACCATTAAAGTAGCACAGAGCTTAATAGGTTTGCTTCTGAATTGTGGTTTCCTTCATATTCTTGGAGCTTATTATTGTACCAGGTACCTTTCGGGTTTTGCGTTAGATTTTACTCTTACCAACAGTACAATGTTGTTAACGGATAAACTAAGTATTTATGTACCAGTTTGTTGTTTATTTTCTGTAGTATTGTAGGTTAATGTGGTCCATTCACAGATCAAAACAGTACTGTCAAGTACGTATAAAGTCCAGTGTTGAACCACTGAACAAGAAACACACACCTTTTATACACTTGGGTTAGAGCTTGAACAACAGATAATAATTAAAACTAAATAAATATTGTCAGTGTATCGATAGAGGTGTTTGGTCAAAAGCACCGTAGTTTAGTTAATTTCTGGCTGAGGCTGGCGGGTTGCCTGACCCTTAACTCCAGGACCATAATCCACTAGTTACAGTTCAACCATCCTAAAGATACAGTACAAGATCGTATAGAAGCATTTTAGGTGTACAATGACCAGTACCTTGTTTAAACACATAGAAATTCAGTATTTATACTTCTAAAATGATGCATTAAATGTAATTATAATTGATCAACATTAAGACTAGCAGCTGTTGCCTAAAGATCTTTAACAAACCTTGTTGAGGTTCAGTCTGAAGATGAAGTTCAGGTTTCAATATTTCAATTGTTTACCACAAAGCCACTGCTGTTTGCGAGCGCTTTGTATAATGAAGACTGGGATTTAAAAACACTCTTAACTAGTGTGGTACGGAGAAGAGACGGTCCCTTCACGAGGAGCCGGCTCTTTGGGTGTCGTTCCTCGTGTGATCTGTACCTCCAGTCACAGGCCATCAGCTGGTTGCAATGGTTCTGATCGCACCCTTCAGATCGATCATTCGAGCGCAGTTTGCGTAACATCTCTGCCCTGACGCGTGGACCTGGAACACCACCGTGGCTTCACGTACTTCCATCACAGGAACGCGCTTGGTAGAACCTGGTGGGCCGCTTGGGGGAGCTGGATGATGTGAAGGAAGGGTTCAGGAAAAAAAAATACCCTTCTCTATGTATTCTAGGTCTACGGAAACAACATGTAAGAGAGGTCACTAAAAACCTGCTGGGATGCGGCCTTGTAGCCTCACACACGGTTGGGAACACAATTGTCCAGCAGGCTTTACATTTATGTAAAGCTTACTTCGGTACAGAACTGAAAATAAAACATCTGCAGTTACCAGTTTAGTAACGCACTTTGCAATAAATGAGTCAACGCCGACAGTCATCCCGTTAAAGAGGATTTTGCCATTGAAGGATATCATATTCTCTTGCTGCAGATGGTTGAGCAGTTTCTCCACAGGGGCGTAGCGTCGCAGCGTTGTGGCGGACCCCACCATCAGCAGCTTGTGTTTGGCCCGGGTAATGGCCACATTCAGGCGACGCCAGTCCTTCAACAGCTCTCCTAACTACGAGAGGAGAAACAGCAGAGAACCAGCTCAGGTTTCCACCTTGTTGATTTGCATGGTCACGGACACAGAGATCCAGGCAGAGCGAAGAGAAGCAGAGTCAAAAAAGGTCAACGGGAAGAGAAAAACGTACGTTTCCTTCCTCCGAGGTGCTCCTGACGAAAGAAAAAATGATCACACTTTTGTCCCGTCCTTGGTATCTATCCACTGTATTCACCTCCACGCCGGTGAAAGCAGAGGACTGCAGCAGAGTGGAGATACTCTTTAACTGCTGCCTGTAGGGGGCGATGACGCCTACATCACTGGGCCTACACCCGGCCTGGAGGAGGAACAATAAGCAGGGGTTAGTTTGATAAAAAAGATGCACCAATTACTTCTCTACCCACCCCAACTGAATTAAGAACACTATTCTTCTATCAATACTTTAGCATCAACCATGCAACTGATGTTCTTACCTTTATCAGCATTGAAAGCAAATTGTGTATCAGAGCAGCCTCGGTGTGATTGCTAACGCCCCCCTTCTCCACAGACTCCAGCGCTGGCACCTACAAGAGAAGTCCAGCGCACTTCCATTGACTTCCTCACAAAAATACCTTTCTGCGACTGATGACCTTTGACCGCAAAGCTAATAAAAGGTTGCGCCGCTCATTCAACCAACCATGGAGCAGTCCAGGAAGCAAACCGGTCTGCTCGGCAACAATGTGGCATGGATCCAAGTCAGGTCGAGCTGCGGATGAGACTTGGCGAAGGAGGCGAGCTGCGACTGGACCGAGAGCAGGAAGGGCAGCGCGAGCAGAGCCGTGGCCGTCCGCTCTGATCCGCACTCCAGCCGGCCCTCGTACATGAGGGAGTTACTGAGAGACATTATCTGCCTGGAAACACGGAGCGCACACTGAACAGGATGCAGTGGCGGGAATCACTTTCGTTGTCTGATGGATGAGCTCATGATAAACAAGAGCACATGCCTGCAGTGCTGTCGGTGTGTGTAGGTGTACCTATTCATCCGGTATTGTACATTGAGTTGGACCACTGCGTCGCCATGGAGCTCTAGCCGCTTAAAAAGGCTCTCGTCCATCCCCAGTGACCTAGAGGGATAAAAAAAAATTCCCCAAAATTGTACCATTTCAAACACGGTCTCATGCTTGTGTGCTGTGAGTCCGTGCACACTGCAATGTTATGTTAAACATGGCTTCTATTTATTTCAATTAGTCAAGGATTTAGTTCTCTTTCATATTGTTCATTCACTATGGAGTTTTGGAAATTGTTTTGAGGAGTTTAAGGTAACGCGTGGTGAATAATTGATATAGGGGTGAAGTGTCCCTTAAGCCCACTCGCTCTTTGCTTTAACAATTTATCCACATATACCTCATCTACACGTTAGAATGTACCTCGCCTCCTGATTTTGTACTATCGGTGGCAGCTGTTGGTGATCTCCCACCAGGACAAATCTCTTGGCGTAGAACAGGGGTCCCAGACAGATGGGCTGGCTGATCTGTGAAGCTTCGTCGACGATGCAGAAGTCAAACCGGCGACGTGTGAAAATGGGATGCTTGATGCCCATACAGGTGGTCGCCACTACCAGCTGCTCACACACAAACACACACACAGGTTATTAAACATTTTTTTCAAAATGTTAAAAAAGGTGTGAAGTAAGCAGTTAACTCAGTAGTTACAATTATGATATTCCACAAACCAACTCCCCACCTCTTTGTTATAAAGCTGCTCCAACTCTGACAGACTGTGAACTCCATCCTTTCTTGCACTTTCCTCCGTGTAGGGCACGATGTCTGGATGAACCTGTAGATGCACAGCAGACCATTAGAGAGAAATAAGAGCAAGCACGAGAGGAGGTGATGAAATGCTTCAGCACCTGCAATGATCCAATGGTGAAAAATGATCATTTTCTCTGCTGCAATGAACACATTGAATAACAACCATCAAACCATCGCTCACCTTCTGCCCCCGCCCAAGACGCAGGAACCCCACCCGAAAGCGCTTTAGCTTCAGCAAGATGTTGTCAACAGCAGAGTGCGTGTAACTGGTCAGCAACACACTGAAGCCACAAGCATGGAGAATGCGGACCTGAGAGAAAAGGTGAGGAAGAGAAGATGATGGGAAGAAGATGGCTAAGAGCTCTGGCCTCACTTGGAGTAGATGATGTGCACGTAGGTGAGGTCTTGAGAGCGTAGTTGGAAGCTTACCAGGGTACAGATGGTGGTTGTTTTGCCCGTACCTGGCATGCCAACAATCAGTGTGTAATCTTTAGATAACAACACCTTCTTCATGGCCTGCTTCTGGGGTTTGTTGAGACCTGAACACACACACACACACACACACACACACACACACGTGTTGACTTATTGAACAAGGGGTTGAATGTTCTACTATTGATTTAAGTTATGTAACTACAACTGTAAAAAACATCCAGAACACGCATACCTTTTCAAGTGGCTCATTTATAGTATTGACCAAGACACAAAAAGACAGAAAATAAGAGGCGGAGCAGAAACCGGAGTAGCGTTGTCACCTTTGAGGATATTGGCCACGGTGTCCTTGGCCTCCCTCGGCAGAACAGAACTGAGGTTGTGAATAAACTCTGGAGGACGAAGGTCAACAACCAGCTCCCTCAGCCGATCACTACACAAACACAAAAGCTTTAAGGCTTTGGGGTCAATTAGTTCATGCACGACTAGCAATGTTTAGATTTGACCTTTGGATACGTTCCTTGCAACCACAACTTTTCATTTCTGTACTTCACTGTAGCTACCTGTCCGGACAGCTTTCCATCAGCCTGGAGAGGTTGGTGAGGTGAGTGCTGAGGCCGACCACGCCCTCATCGCCGTCCAATCGAAACAGCACACCACTGAACTTGGACAGGTCTCTATAAAACCCATTAAACAACAAAGCATGTGCAGATGGAATTAGTGAAACAATTTGCTGTCCTGTAGTTTTTCTGATGGCTGGAAACGTGGGTTTGCTCTCACCTGTCCAGAGTGCAGCTGATCGACGTCCGGCTGACCTCACACAGGTAACCTGTTGCCAGACCAACCAGTCGACCTTCCTGGTCACTAACAACTATGCGATCCCCGCTGGCCAAACCGCTGCTGGCCAAACCCTCCTGAGGACCCGCGCTGCTTCGCTGGAAACGATGGAGGAAAACCCCTTCGGACCGCACGGCCACCGGGCCGCTGAGCTGCACATTCCCCACACAGCTCCCAGTCTTCTCACTGCAGACGCAGGTCAGATGAAACAAACACTGTGATTTTACGGTAACATGTCGTACGAAGGGGCGGCATTCTACACGCACACGCGTGCTTTTCTGGGAGGGTTGACA